ATGCATTAGAATCATTTTTTTCAATCTCAATACATTCTTTTCCGGGACCCTTTATCTTATGGAACAATAACAAACAAGGATTATTCAAAACAGTATCATTGTTGTTAGCTATATTTAGTTCGACTAATCATTTTAATGAGTGTACGATAACACACACTTAGATTTGTGATGGGCACCACCGAGCAGCTCGGCATTTTATGTTGCTGGAAATTCAGCAAAAAATATGTTTGTCGGCAAAATTTCCGTTTGTTATCTGAATTTCAGCAAGTTTTTCACTGAGATCCAGCAAAATAAAATGCCGAGCTGCTCGGTGGTGCCCATCTCGGCGAAAAAATATAAGTGTGCATCGTTGAAAATTGTTTCAATAATTTATGAAGAACAATCATGTAAGATGTATTTTATTGGGAGCGATATTCATCCCAGAAAACCATGCCAAAACAAATGTTTGCTGTTGGATTTCTTAAAAGACAAATCTATATGACTATATAATGCTAGGGATAGATCTGTTTACAATCTTTAAACGTCAAAAATCAAAGGAAGCTATTACAATGAGATATACATGTTTTCCTATACTGAAAAGTTAAATGACTGTCCAATAGTTTCTACATGTCTGTTTACACGCGACATATCAACAAACGTCAAAAATCGTTAAAAGCAACTCCAATAAAATAAACATAATTATATTATTAGATATATCTTTTAGTGAGCAATATTTATCATGAAAACAGGTATAGTTTACTGAGTTTACTCATAGTGCAAAACTATATGATTTTCCATTAGTTTCTAGATGTCTGTTCCCACCCATTACATATCACCAGTTTTTCACCATGAAATTTATCAGACAATATTCATATACATCTTATCTATCGCTAACCACGCTCGAAGCAAAGTATTATCAAGTACTAAGTATGTGAAATTACGATAGAATTCATTCCATTTCGCAGTCATAGTTTTTAAGTGATAATGCAATGGAATCTATCAATCATCACATACACACTTAATCTTATATTTTTATGTCGGTAAAATAGATTGCTGAACTTAATCGGTAAAACGCGATTTTTGCTTATTTCTCGTTAGAAAACATGTTTTTACTGAATATCGGTATATACAATTAACGAATTTTGTTTATATGAAAGTATTTACTGAAATTCGGTAATGGTTTACCATGAATTTCGTTAAAATCTTGGTTCACCGACTTCGGTAATAAAAAGTGACGAACCTCGGCAATTGAAAATAAGAAGAAGTATCTGTCAGTTGTGCACATTTATTGTAAGCCATTTTGGCAGAGAGTAAGTTGTCTGTTGCGGTGCTTTAAGTGTTGCGTGTGATTCAATGAAGTGTAAAATGGAGGAAATATTGCGGCAAATCGATGGTGAAGGAGAAGCTGTAAGCCAATAACTGCGTCAACTATTATGTAAGTAATAAATCTTTATTTGTTTTCAGATTTACAAATTTATACAGATAGGAGATGGCTTATGCTGCCTTTTCTGCAACAACAAACAACCCGGGGCACACTGATGGGTGGGTGGAAGAGTGAGAAAGAATGTGTCATTGTGCGAATAACTTGAATAAAGACTTGTTTATAGAATTTTCACTAATTTTGTATTATTATTATTGCTATTCTGAATAATCCAATTAATTTGAGTTGAAATTTCGACGATAGTCGGAAAAAGCTAAATATGTCCATGAACGGTTTGCCGAAGGATTGGTAAAAGATTTATTCTTGTTTTGAGGTATTTCGGTAAAATAAAAGCTGAACGCTCGGCATACAAGTACCGATGTTTTCGGTAAAATTTGACAGTTGAATAAAACTGATAACTACTATGCGTTCGGTATTCTATATTTTACCGAATTTTTTAACGAAATTTCGGCTGTTGGATTCTCGGCAATTTATTTTATCGGCCTCGGTGAAATAAACTAAGTGTGTAGGAATCTGCCGTCATTATCCCGTAGATTTCCACGAGGCTTCCCACCCCACCTCACGAAAAACAGCCCCAGACCATCACATTTCCTCCAACATGCTTCACCGTGCCTTGGATGTGGCGCTCCTGAAGCTCCTCACGCGATCTGCACCACACACGGTTAAACAGCTCGTTTTCCAGAACTCTAGGGGCTTATCAGCATGCTCCTTAGCAAACTCAAACCGTTTGGCTGTGTTTACCTTGCTGATAAATGGGTGCTTCCGAGCAACTTTGCTATTCAACCCCTGTGCTACAACACGGTGACGAACACGGAGAATCGAAACAACTCAAAATTAAGTCATTTGTGCTCATCTTGACAGCTAAGTGAAACCAGTCAAAATTGAGTTGTTCGCAAAGAATCTAATTTTAAGTACTTTACGAAGACTTCGCTTTGAGTAAAATGTACCTGTTCTTAGTTTTAATAAAATTAGGCGTCTTTTTTAAATAATTTTCTTGAATGTATTGATCCGGTCGCTGCAGATCTTTTAAAAGTAGTGGATTCTGAAAAGTTTGAAAACGAGGGAAGATTTAGCAAGTGTTTATATTTCATAATTTACAAACATACCGAGTAGTGCAAAAGTTAAGTAGATTCCACATCCGGATTATGGCTTCCGAAGCACCCGTTGTCAAGACGTTGCATTAGTTAGAACTTTTTGGACCTAGAAATATATTTTAATTTAGATGTTTGGACATTAAATTACCTTCAGCAAACAAACCACTCCCTTGCATGCTTCTCCAGCTGACGAAAAATATGGCGCACGATGCAAGTAATTTTTCACCCAACATAAAGTCTAATCACAACACTTGATTTTAAGTTAAAATTACTTTTCAATGAGAACAAAATTTAAACCAAAACAATAGTGATAGGCGAGTACTTATTTTTAAGTACTTTCTATCTCGATTTTGAGTTGTTTCAATTCTCCGTGAACAGTTCGACCGGAAACTAATAGATGAAGGGTTTCCTGGATCTCGCGGACAAATACTTTCGTGTTCTTCTTGACTTCGCACATGATCTTGGTGTCCGTTCTCGCATCCGTTTTGCGATTCCTGCCTCTGCCAGGGTGATTCACCCAAGGATTCACCACTGATTCCAACGTTTTTAGTTTCAGAAGAATTTTCCCAACTGATGCCTTGCTGATACTATACTTCCTAGTGACAGCCCGGTGTGATTCACATTCACATCAGGAGTCACATATTTTCGGATAAACAAAGGGAATTGCTTCCGAAATCACTGCGTTCTCCATTTTTTCAACTGAATCAAATGAGATCACTTGTACAAATGCACCAAGTTGGGCCGTTTGTTTCAAAACATGCCAAAATATCAAAACATAAACAATCGAGGGGTTTTCCGATGGAATTTTATCGAAAACATATTAATTTTTGACGTGGGCCCTTTTTTGTAACTATTTTTTTTCAATATAAATTGAATATTTTTTCATTTAAGTAAAACTCTTTTTTTCAGTATTCCATAAGTGAATCTTTAAAAGAATATAAAAAATAAGATATAAAAAAGACTGCAGTGTGTTTCCCGCATAAAAGCGAACCATAAATTGACCTTACCTAAAATGGTTAAAAATTGTTTATAATCCCTGCTAAACTTTAACTGAAATGGTTATGGAACTTTACATGAACGTTTAATGATAAAGTTTCAACCTTATGTATTATGGTTTTGTGGAACTGAACCTTACAAATAATGGGTTGTTAAGAACCATTACCGTTCCAAATTCTTGTTTTCCCCATACATTTTCGGAAAGAGAACTATATTAGAACCTTTTAACTTATGGTTTGAGAACTTTAATGGTAATGGTTATGGTAGTCAGTAAGGTCCACGAATGGTTTTGTAACATCGATCAACTTTATGTGGAATATATCGCGAATTGGTTGCCTGTAATTTACTGATTACCAATTCACGATATATTCCACGTAAAGTTGAGCGATAATACAAAACCATTAATGGACCTTACTGACTACCATAACCATTACCATTAATGTTCTCAAATCATAAGTAAAAACGTTCTTATATAGTTCTCTTTCTGAAAATGTATGGAGAAAACAAGAATTTGGAATGGTAATGGTTCTTAACAACCCATTATTTGTAAGGTCCAGTTCCAAAAAACCATAATACATAAGGTTGAAACTTTATCATTAAACGTTCATGTAAAGTTCCATAACCATTTCAGTTAAAGTTTAGCAGGGATTATAAACAATTTTTAACCATTTTAGGTAAGGTCAATTTATGGTTCGCGTTTATGCGGGTTACTTTAATTTGAACCAAGGGGCAAGACACCTCCTAATCATGAGCAATTTCAGAGCTGCTTTTGAAGCACCTCGAGTAACTGACATTTTTAGATTTCTCACTTTTCGCCAAGCAGAAAAGCTGCTGTCAAACAAACCAACAAAAAAGGAAACAACTGGATACGGTAGAAACTTGAGACTTGTTTCTGACAGACCAGGAATAACATTTTTCTCGAAAATCAGACGATCAACAACAGAGGGATTTTCGAACATTATAATTTATTTTTGAAATGTCAAATTTAAGTGAGAATTTCACCAAATGGAACACATCCTTATTTGAAAATTCATCTGTCAAATTAAAGTGAAAATTCATGAAATGGAACACAACCTAAAATCATGGTGGGTATATAAATGGTGATACAGCTTTGTCACTATATAGGCGAGGAGTTTGCGGGGGGAAAAGTGCGGTTTTAGAGCAAATTTTAAACAAACTCGGTCGCTGTCCCATACAAAAATCCAACATGGCTGAATCATGAATTTGACATATTAGAACACCTATATGTAGTCACCTTGCCTAAAATAGCGTGCACGATCACTAAATTTCGAATGATATACCTTTTGTCTCAGTGCAAAATGTAAATTCATTTCTCGAACCCACGTGGCGGTTCTAAGCGGGCGGCAAAAATACAAAAAAAAAATGCCGCTTTGTTTTTTGACATTCTGCTTTGCCCAAGCCTTCTCATCGAATGAGAAAGAGAACGCGAAATTTTAAATTTCGTTTATTTACGTGCAGATTGTTCCGCCGCCAAATTTTCCAATATTACCGTGTAAATTCGCTCTAAAACTTCCGCTAAAGTGTGTTTGTCGAAAGTTGGATCAACGAGTCGCGTTTGTTGGTAATTTTCGATTGGAATATCCCGGGAAGTCATCGGTAAAATGTTGAATATATTTTAGCTTGCCGCTGTGGCTTCCATCGAAGAAAAAAGGTGGGATCGCAAGGGGCAGGCAGGCTACGGCAGCAGTGAAGTAAGAAGACGAAGGTCACTCGCGTGGAAAGAAGAGTCGGCAGCAGTTGCCGTGTAAACAAAAATCTCCGCAACGCCTGATGATGGTTCCTATCGGAGGTCCCGTCGGTCACGGAGGACATCCCATACACATTCCGACGCCGATCCAGAATGCTCCACCTTCTTCACAAAGCCAGCATGCGCCCTCCAGCCAAAATCGGCAGTCACTCTCCGTGGTGAGTGGGTTTTATGTGTGGTAGAAACTCTTCTAATATTGGAGCATTCTCTTTTTTATTCAATTGCAGAAACCAAACTATACTCTGAAGTTTACACTTGCTGGGCACACCAAAGCAGTCTCCGCCGTAAAATTTAGTCCCAATGGCGAGTGGCTGGCCAGTTCTTGTACGTTTGCTTCATGAGAAGTTGTGTAGATTTTTTGTTTGTGAGTGAATTTTGGTTTTTATCTTTTAGCCGCGGACAAATTGATCAAAATTTGGGGCGCCTACGATGGTAAGTTTGAGAAGACAATATCCGGTCACAAGCTCGGGATCAGCGATGTGGCGTGGTCGAGCGACAGTCGCCTGCTGGTGACAGCCAGCGACGATAAGACGCTTAAGATTTGGGAACTGAGCTCGGGAAAGTGTTTGAAAACCCTGAAGGGACACACCAACTACGTCTTCTGTTGCAACTTCAACCCGCAGAGCAACCTGATAGTGTCGGGATCGTTCGACGAGTCGGTTCGAATCTGGGATGTCCGGACGGGTAAATGCCTCAAGACACTTCCGGCCCACTCGGATCCCGTTTCGGCCGTGCACTTCAACCGGGACGGTTCGCTCATTGTTTCTTCCAGTTACGATGGGCTGTGTCGTATCTGGGACACGGCCAGCGGTCAGTGTCTGAAGACGCTCATCGACGACGATAATCCTCCGGTTTCGTTCGTCAAATTCTCGCCCAATGGAAAGTACATTCTGGCCGCCACGTTGGATAATACGCTGAAGCTCTGGGATTACTCCAAGGGCAAGTGCCTCAAGACATACACCGGGCACAAGAATGAAAAGTATTGCATCTTTGCGAACTTCTCCGTTACAGGTGGAAAGGTAAGAAACTTCCAGCTGACGTTTCGTGAGCAAATTTGTAACATTTGTTTTGTCACCTTTCAGTGGATCGTTTCCGGCAGTGAAGACAACATGGTGTACATTTGGAATCTGCAGAGCAAGGAAATCGTGCAGTGCTTGCAGGGTCACACCGATACGGTTCTGTGCACCGCGTGCCATCCCACGGAGAATATCATCGCTTCGGCTGCGCTCGAGAACGACAAGACGATAAAGCTGTGGAAGAGCGACACATAAAATTGGGCCCGCAGATAGTTGGCCGGGGGCACGTCAAGGTCTCAGTGGAGCAATGGCTTTGCAGCCACCGCCACCACTTCCAACTATCCAGCATGGTTCTGATGATCCAGCTCGGGAAATATGAATTTGATTTAAAGTAATAGGCATATATGAATGGAACTAACTTCTAAGCAGTGTGTAAAATCTACTTTTACATAATATCGATAGTAACTGTACGATTGTGTTCGATAAGACGTTTGACTTTTGAAGTAAGTGAAATAAAATCAATAATGAATTAGCGGTGAATGAAGATTTTATTTATTTATTTATTGTCTTCAAATTTTCAGTCACAAATTCAAATATATTTTAATCATTAGCTAGAAACGGAAGTGCGTCATACTTGTAAAATATGACTAGGAATGATGTCAAAAGTGTAAAACAGAAAATCTCAGTTCTTATCGTCAATTCGAAGCTTTTCCATAATTTCCAGAATGTCGCCCAACGATGCAGCACTGAAAATTGCAATATTATGAATTACAAATTCCAATTTTAATATTACTTAACGTACTCCCGTTTTCCATCGAATAATACTGCCATTTTGTCCCGCAAAGAGGCAGCTTCATTCGGTCCACTGTCTCCGGAAGCATCCTTCGAATTTTGCATCGTCTGTCGATAAAAATGCTCATACGCGATTCCTGAAATACCAAATTCAACATGAATCCATCCAAATCGGTCTCACTCCTACTCACCCAACGGAACGACCTGATCCTTGTGTTCCACGTGACCGTCCGAAAACCAACAGTCTACGCAGACGGATTGTTTGCACCGCAAGCATGCCAACAAAAGCTGATGTTTCTCGTGTGCCGGACATCGGTTCCGGATTTCTTCCGCAAGCTGCCGCTGAACCGTCTCGACAAGTTGATTGATCAGATAGACCTTGACCAGCCGGTTGGTTTGCATGGAGCATCGGCAGTAGGGACAGGTGCTTTGTTGGAGCAGCCAACGCTCCACGCACTCCCGGCAGAAGGAATGGGAACAATCTGGGCACATCCGGCAATCGCGCAGAACGCCCAAGCAGATGCTACACTCCAACAGTAGAGAAAGTTCCGAATCAGGGAATTTGTCCTGAGATGACATGCTGAAAGCGTACGGTGGGCACTCTGGTAGTTTCGTTCGATTCCTAACTTGGTTTAAGATGGGATGATTGATTTTTTTAAAAATATACTGGTATTTTTTTTTAAATGGTTCACAAACGTGAAAACCGAAAAATTCAGCAGGCTTCGAAATTCAAATTATGTATAGTATGATGTACACAGCCCATCAGTGGCAGGCGCGTACACTCAAAAAATTTCACACGTTTGATCGAAGTGTTTAAACATTTGATTTTTTAAATGCAGAATCACATTTACTTTAAGTGTATTTCACCTTGGTTCGATGTGTTATACACGTTAATTTAGAGTGTTTCAAACTTTGAAATGTTAAAAAAATTTCACTTTCTATTAAAGTGTATCCAGCTTTCCATGCTCGGTAATGGCGGTCTGTTTGTATGGATAAATGTATCCTTCACTGTGCTTTTTGACACTTACTGGAGGGCGTATGTTGTTCCATTTTCTTCTGTTCCTGGGAGAGGGAAAGGGAGGGGTCAAAATCCGAACATCCAGATAGCGTCAAAACGCACAGTGAAGGATACATTTAATCAAACCAACAGGCCGCCATTACCGAGCATGGAAAGCTGGATTGCACATTGAATCACGCTACTGTTCAAAAGAGATGGATTTAAAGTGTATTGCATTTCAATACGATGTGAATTGCTTGCTCAGAAAGGTAAACATCGAAAACAAGAGTTGTGACTTTATCCTATTAACCCGCCTCATATATGAGAACAACCCTGGCACAGTGAGATAGAACGAAGACTCCGGCAGCAGCACACCTCAACAGTCCATGATCGAATCCCAAATCAGACTCATTAAAAAGATATGTGATAGCTCTGGCCTCTGGCAGTTTTGATTATATATTAAATATTAAATATTATTTTGTCGTTTCAATTTTTTCGTGTCGGTAAAGTAGAAGTCAATAAAGTAGAATATTGAACTATGGTGTGCAAAGCTATTGATATCACCATATGAGACACATAGAATCCAAGTGTGTCACAATTCAAATCCATAGTGTTCAGGCATGGTTCATAGCATAAGATTCACACATGAAATGGATGTGTTTCACAATAAGCGCAAAATTAAGTGTGAGACACATGATGATGGCGCCATGTAATTCACATCGTATTGAAATGCAAAACACTTTAAATCCATCTGTTTTGAACAGTAGCGTGATTCAATGCAATACACTTTAATAGAAAGTGAAATTGTTTAACATTTCAAAGTTTGAAACACTCTAAATTAACGTGTATAACACATCGAACCAAGGTGAAATACACTTAAAGTAAATGTGATTCTGCATTTAAAAAATCAAGTGTTTAAACACTTGGATCAAACGTGTGAAATTTTTTGAGTGTAGGGTTACCATATGGTATCCTAAAAGAGGACATGTCCTCCTTTTTCAATAATTTTTCTACATCCTCCTTTTGCCCGAAAATGTCCTCCTTTTTAAACCTTGCATTTTTTCCAGCAACACATTCATAAAATTGTTTTCAAAAAGCATTGTTTGCAGAGCTTATTTGTTTAATTATGTCGCAACCTCATCTTATCCAGCAAATGCCATTCGATGGTGGGACTATACTACGGCTGTCAACCCCCTACATTTAGGGTGCGGTGCATTTGGTGAATTTTAACATATATTTGACAGATGGAAAATTTTCAAATAACCCTGAAATCTCGCCTGAAATTCTACCAGACTTATTTCAGACAAACCAAGAATCAATTCCTCTAGGATTTTCTTCACCCCCTGACGATAAAAGGTTAAGGTATTGCCGAAGCCGACATTTCCCCTATAAAAATGAATTATGAAGGCTAGTTTTATGCATTTTTCAAAAGTATAACGAAAAGATGAATTATTGAATTGGTAACGACTACAAGTTATGAATAATCTCAATTGAACCTTAGCAAATCATGAATTATGTGATAGCGCACATATTATTAAAACGTTTAATAAAACTCATTGTCCTCATTTAATGTTAAGAAAAGGAATGATTTGTCCTCCTTAGTCTCCAATCCTCAAATAAAATGTCCTTCTTTTCAAGTTTTTGATATGGTAGCCCTACTTGTCAGTGGCCTGGATGTACGGCATACATCAGTGCACGGTCCCTAACCTCACTCCTTGCTCCATATAAATCATTTTGCACAAACAATCAAACTTTGCACCATCATTTTTCACAACAAACCACCCAAAACTGTCAAAATTTACGGGTGAGAGAAAAGCAGTGATAACGGCGCCGGTGGTGTAGTGGTAAGCGTGATTACCTCTCACCCCACCCCTTCCTTCGGATGGGAAGTAAAGCCGTTGGTCCCCGGTTCATGAGTTGATGGGTCAATAGGTAGGGTCCAGGTGTGGGAGCTGCCTTCCTGGCACGTCGGTAGCATTGGTGCTCAGCACGGAAAACAAGATCGACGGAAAAAACAAACCAAAGGAAAAAAAAAAGAAAAGCAGTGATGCCAAGCGTTAAAAAAAAAATATTTACATCGAGATTAGAAATACTCAGAGGGAGAGATGGGCGGAGAGAATGTTTTGAGCCAAATGAACTGTCAAAATGTGAGCCAAACGAGCATTCCAATTGGAATTTTGAACCAAATGAACTGCCAAATCTGAGCCAAACGAGTATTCCAATTTTCCCGATGGTTTATTATTCTTACTAGATTAAATGTGAGGCTATCCAGCTTTCCATGCTCGGTAATGGCGGCCTGTTTGTATGAATAAATGTATCCTTCACTGTGCTTTTTGACACTATTACATTTATTCATACAAACAGGCCGCCATTACCGAGCATGGAAAGCTGGATTGCAATCGAACAGAAATTCAATCACCTTTATGTTTCGTGTGCTTCTCAAATTCAACTACACACAAACAACAAAAATTGTATCAATAAAAATAATGCATTTTCATATTGAAAGGTTGCCAAAATTCGTAGTATTAACTGCGAAAATATTCAAAATGTGAATTAATTTTTTTGTTTGAAAGTGTTTTTTTCACTTTTGACTTGTAATTTTAAAAGTGCATTTTTTAAAAGGAAAGTTGTTCAACTGTCAATATACCTTTTCACATCGATTTGTTTACTAGCAGCACTGAAGTTTTATTAGCCGTTTACTTCGCGCCAAAATGTATTGCGTTCATTTTTGCAGCAGCAGAACCGTCGTTTCTTCCACCCGTTAGAAATTTTACAAAGTTTGGTTGTTGCAAAAGCCACCTCGGATATTAAGTGAGTAATTAATTTTAAAAATATCGAAAAACGCTCCTTCAACAGGTTTACAATTATTAAAAAATTACTTTTTTCACAGCCCCATTGATTCGTCTATGCTCCAGTCAATTTTCGAAACAGCCAGCACCGACATTAACATCGAGAACCTCATGTTTTGCTCCCGCCTACAATCGCCTATTCATCGTCCTTGTGGTGGATGCGCAAACCAATTGAAAAACAGTTTGATTAAGACGCAATCATTTCCGTTAAAAGTGTCGATGCGCAACATAAACGAAAAACAAACTTGTAAATCAAAATGACATTAATGTATACCAAGCATTTCCACTGGGTCTCAAATAAACATTCCTAAGAAATCCCAAATGCAATAAACATGTTTACTAGGTCAAGCGCAAGACGATCAACAACGCACGCAGACGGCGCAATGAATGAAATGATTGTTTGCATAGCTAAGCATACTTGCAATAAGCATAATCGATTGCGTGTGACTTTTGCCACATGGTATCGGGTCAATTCGTAAACAACAGGAAGCAACATATCAACATAGGACTTGGGAAAGATTCAGCATAAACAATATTGAATTCTATCTGCGCAATTGGTTAATTAATAAAACTAACTGAAACTGAAATATACATTATTCTACAATCGCAAGTCAGAGTGTTATTAACTTCGAATGCCAGTTCAGTCCTGCCTGGGCTCAAGAACGGATGAAGATCAGCCGGGTGTAGTGTGGATACTTTAATATTGGATTCAACAAGCGATCGCGTTAGGTATTCTGTTGGGAAGTTTCAGAACATGTTACTCCTCTTTTCTCTTCCCTTGGTCCAAACGCGGAAGAGAACGCTCCCAGGGTCGTTTTATGCTTTCCCCGATGTCTGACACTGTAATCGTAGCATAAAGAAAAACCATCAATAACTGGATGAACATTAAAGGGTTCGTCGGCCAGGGTCGAACCGTCTAATTACACCGCCCTTACCTTTTCATACCACGGCAAGAGCTAAGAAAGCGAGGGGTGGGAAACTTCCACTTTGTATGAAGTTTTCAACGTAGTAGAACGAATTCAACTAAAAGGTGTGAAACCCAAGAAAGACTATCTTCTTCTATTAATAGAATAGCTGCTAATTTGTGGTTTGAAAATCTAACTTCGTCCATCGGGTATTCTTTATTTTCCCATTTAACCTCACAACAAACTACTACGTGATCACGTTTTAAACTCGTTAGTGTATGTGTTTGTCTACCAATTTTACAATCTTCGTGTTTTGTCTTAGGTCCTAACTCTATATGCATAACAGTTTTCAACAAAAAAACATAACCAGCGCGACTTACGGTTTTTCAGGAGGGTGCTGTGGTGGTGGTGGTGACTTACGGACGGAAGGTGTGGATGAACTACGGTGGTTGTTGGCAATGCTGGGTGGTGGTGATGGTGAATTCCAACGGCCGCTTTCCGTGGTGACTTCCAACCAAAATGGCCGAAACACTGGCCTTATCCAGGGGACGTAAGGCTCCCCAAAATGGCTGACACACTGGATGGTCCCAGCCTTTCTTCTGGCGACGTGTAGCTCTCAGAATGGCCGAAACAATGGCCGATCTTAGCCGTCGTTCTGCCACTACAATGGCGTACTGGGAGAGATGTGGTGGACCTTACCGCTCGAGAGAATCCCTCGTCTGCCGTGGCCTCCAATGGAGCACCCGCAGGGACGATTTCTGGCTCAGGGATATATTTTTCGGATGACTACAATGTCCACGTGGTATTTGACCGTCGATTAACGAGCTGTGCGGTCCGAGGTCTATCTAGGCGAACGGAAAAAGGCCTTACTTGGCCTGTTCAAGTTTAGATTAGTCTCACGTCACCAAGTTTAGGGTACATTGTCAAAAATCATCCCTAATATCGCTAAAAAGGTTACCTTTTTCCAAATTACACTCCGGTAACTCTTCGAGATGGACAATGGTCCCTTTTTCCGGCACCGCACCCCTAGGTAAGTAATACTAACATTATAGGACATACTTTTCTTAATCAAACTAACACTTTTACCTCTACTAACACGTACTACCACTAACTTTTTTAACACTCGGACTTTTTCTACCACTAATTAATAATTAATCTAAAATAGAAAAGAAATAGAAATTTACAAAAGGAACCACACACTTTTCACACAACGGACAACCTCGATTATATTAACGCGCCGCGCACTTCTAACTTCCTTGAAGTCTTGAGCCAGAAAGAACGAATCAGTCCGACCGAAGTAACTAGAAAGTTCTAGAATTGCAGGGAGCCTACAATCTTCCTGTTCATTTTTTTTGACAAGCCCCCCATTGTTCAACCCGATAATTATGTTTCTTCCCTAGCTTGGATTTACAGTGTAAGACATACGGGAGTAGACCCAATTCATTTGCTTAGAAAATGAACACAGATTTGTGACACACAGATGGCAGCACTTGACTACCAAATGCAAGGTGCGTTGAAAGGAGTAGCTCTATGTTGGTGCACTTGACAAAGTCAATGCAAATGGGTATATGAAACCAACGGTTACAAACATTAGAGCTTTCCCTGAACTCGTGCAAGAGTTAGTGAGGTTTTTTGTCTTGATTTGAGATGCTGAAAATTGATCTTGGTGTTTATCATTTTAGGCATGTCTTCATGGGTTTGTTCGCGTGTGGTCAATTTCTGCGCTAGTAACGTCGCTGATGGATAACGGAAGTAGAACCCAATGTATGAGACTCTTATCAACCCATACTTATGCCGTGCTGGACATCGATGGAATCAAACTTCAAATGAAGAATCCCTGGTCTCATCTTGGCTGGCCGGGCAGCTGTTCAGAGCTGAATGTGGTAACTATTTCTTGGAATCCAACCCTATTCGACTACACATACAGCATTCATCAGCTGTGGCGTGGAGCCAACGTAAGACGCTTATACACGTGCTGGTATAGAACTGACATAATAAATATATTTTAGCATTTGTAGATTTTTATTTATCAAATAAAGAAAATATTTGGATATAATATTTATTAGAATTGAAAACTAAAAATGATTTTGTAATCTTCAAAATACTTATATTTAAATTGAAAATGCTTTTTGTGTAAATCAAAACAGTACATATTATTTCAAATTTACCACATTTTCAAGTCAAAAATTTGTTTTGAATTGAAAATAATCCACTTTTAATTTGAATACGCCGTGTTTTTCATTTGACAGTAGAACAATTCATTTTAAAAGTTTTAGCTTTTAAAAGTAGTGAACGGAAAACTTTTAATTAGACAATTGGTTGACTTTCGTTTTGAAAGCTAACCGCTTTCTACCAAAAAGAACCAACGCAAACTTTTAATTTTACCAATGGTTTTTTTTAATTTTATCAACGATTATTTTTTGTGTGTAGGGGAAATGACGGCTTCGGCATGCCAGACTATTTTCGGCAACCCAAATTGAAACACTATTTTCACTGGATTTTCTTACGAAAACACTTCGCTGAATGCATGCAAACGATTCTTTATGCTTTCAGCTTCAATTTGATTATATTTTTACCACTGAGAAAAAGCAATCCAGCAAGGTTTTCTTGAAATGAAACACACGCACTACAAATTGTAGCTGATTTCGAGTTGCCGATAATAGAACAGCAGATTTACATGCAGTTCAAATGGAACGACAATACTCGCTCTCACTAGAGAAGATTGGAGCTTTGTAAAATCGTTTCAAAACAGTTTTTGACAATTCTTTCGACTGAAATTGTTAGAGCAGCTGGCAGCAAAAGATTGTAAACAAACCAATACTGCATATGTGTGCGTTCCTTAGAGAAAAAGGCTATAGAAAGAAGGCCGCTGCTTAGGTTGCCGAGAATACGTAAATTCCCCTAGTTTTTGGAAACAGAAGCAATATTCTAATTTTATTAATTGATCTTTGTTGGTTAATTAATAGCACCAAGAAATGTGCACAATATTGCGATGCAATCAATTATTATTTTGCACTTAAATCGAATAAAAAATAAAAGTCATTTGAAATGCTAGCTTCTAGCAAGGGTTGCAAGATAATTTAGGAACAAATCCCTGCTGCCAAATACACTTGTTTTCTCCGCCTATCTCTCCCTCTGAGTATTTCTAGTGGAAAATAACGATTTTTAATTGGCTCACTACTTGACTAGGCTATTTTGACACGTTTCCACTTATTAAAAAGTGTGACAAATGTGCGAGTTTCCATCTAATGTCTTGGTGTATTCAGTGCACTTATTCCATATGATGAAGCAATAAGTGCACCGAAGACACCAAAACGATTAGACCATAGAGGTAACTCTAAGACCACTGGGTCCCGAAGAAAATCATTATTATTTTTGGCTCACTCAGTACCAGAACAACGGTCCCAAGCAGTCCCAAGCTATTTCACTCACCCCTGCATGTTCTGCATAAATCCACACACCCCTGCTGTTATCTGTCAAACTTTCATAGCGAATCAAAACAAACATAGTGTAGTAATAGAATTTCAACTAGAATAGGGTACGTTAATCGTTTGCTTGGGACCAATAGGCTACTAAAGTCAACAATCAATACGAAACTAACGATTTTAAATTGGCTCACCACTTTAGTAGCCTATTGGTCCCAAGCAAACGATTAACGTACCCTAATCTAGTTGAAATTCTATTACTACACTATGTTTGTTTTGATTAGCTATGAAAGTTTGACAGATAACATCAGGGGTGTGTGGATTCATGCAGAACATGCAGGGGTGAGTGAAATAGCTTGGGACTGCTTGGGACCGTTGTTCTGGTACTGAGTGAGCCAAAAATAATAATGATTTTCTTAGGGACCCAGTGGTCTTAGAGTTACCTCTATGCTAAAGTGGTGAGCCAATTTAAAATCGTTAGTTTCGTATTGATTGTTGATTAGACTGCAACGTGCACTTTAATCACACTTTTTTGCAATTTTGGCGCAGTCCAGATTTAGATGTAATCCGCAATATCAGCAAAAAAAAACCCTTATCTGACATTAATGTCGGATTCGAGGTCGGATTATCGAGGGGGAATCAGTAGGTCAATTTCGGTAAAAGAATCCTTCATTTTGGGTTATCTGTTCTTAGCGTGCACACTGGGAGACTTCTAACAAAATTTACCAACTGGGCGCCAGTTCGACAAAATTTGGCCGCCCATCGTAGTACTAGAGTATTAATTTTGTTTTTTCCTCTTTGTGCTCCAATTTCCTTTTCATAAAGTTCCCGAACGGCAACAAGAACGGACGTGAGAGTGTGAGTAAAGTGAGTAAAGGAGTTGTGTGTTCCGTTCAGAGCTGAAAGTTGAAAAAAAATCGAAGTTTGTGCGCGTGGGAAAAGCGAAAAACTTCCGAAAAAGGAAGGTTTTTCTGTGAAGAAAATTCAGTTTTGTTTTTGAGAAACAAGTGAAAATCACAGTGGAATTTGTTTTCCGGTGAATCAGTGGCCGTGCAAGTATTGAACCCCAGGTGAGTAATGGAACGGGAATGAATTTCATAACATGGAAGCGGCGAATGCCAGAGTGGATTTTTTTTGCCTCCCGGATGAAAAAATCGATTCCAAAAATAGATGTTATGAATCACAATAACCGTTGCACACAAATAGTGGGTTGCTTCTCGGTAGGAAGTGCCTTACCTTAAATAACAATTCCGCATTTTGGTCTACTTTCAGATTCCGCCATCTTTAAATTGATTGTTTTGTGTCGGATCACTACATTGTTGGCTTCTTCTTCCACCCGGATCTGAGCCACGGAACAGACCAATATGATGAATTCGATCAGTAAAATCCACTTCAACAGTTCGACCGGCGTTTCGTTGAACGACCGATTCACAGTCATCTCCAGAATCAGTCCCACGGACAAGGGAGCTGGAGGTAGCGGTAGCCACGAGCGGAACGGCGGTGGAGGCATCCTGCGAAAGCGCTCCAATTCAGCAGATTCCTACGCGTCCCGCGGTTCGTACGCCAACCGGCAATTGGTCAACCAGCTGGACCGGCGTCACATTGGGCAGTCGCAGGCGGCACTGCGCCTGAGGAATGTAAGTTCGATGCTCGTTTTGTTTTGCATTGCCGATGGACGAGGTCAATGACATTATCGTTTTGTGTCGATTTGCTTTGCTTTGCAGAAAACTATCCGTTCCGGTCGGCAGCGACTTAACCGCAGCAGCCTCGCATCACGGACCCAACTACGACGGGCAGCCGGCAATACACTATCCCTCTCGGGAGGTTCACGGCGATTGCAGCGATCGAACAGCTTCACGGATGTTGCTACGTAAGTAATCTGATTATATTTTGTTTGAAATGGTGGAGTTTCTTTGAACGAAACTCGGATTGTAACGTTAAAGTTACATTGCTGAATTTTGGAAGGGGAATTAGAGCAAGTTAGCAACCGTAAAAGACAGTGACTGTATTCATTGACGCATGTTGTTGAAACATAGTTGGTAGACACTGAAGATAGGTACACTAGTTGGAAATCGTTCGAATAAATCAGACGCCTAACAAGTTGAATTCAGTTTCATTTCTAGGTGGTTGTTTTGTTTCGTGATTTAGTTATCGTGACTGACATAAATCTAGGGTGGAAAAAGGGAGGTAAAATACGATAGTAGTTCTGGTTTTGTTTTGCGGGAAACATGATTTATTTGCTCGTGTCATGTCTTGCATTCCCAGTCGAAAGTTTGTTGCATAAATTAAGCATTTTTTATGTTTCTTTCAGACTACCAGCGTTATAATTAAAGAGGCGCAGGTATTCCCTGATACCTATGTGTTAATCTGAATACGTCAATTTGGATACATTTTGACCCAAAATTCAGTCATGTCCCAATTTAAGCAATACACTCGCTTTCCACTGGATTTACTATCGACGTACCTACTGACTCTATTTGTTTGCCTTGAAATACTCTGGTCTTAGCTTTTAGTTTCCTGGATTTACCTGGATTTTCTATACGCTCTGCAAACCCCTAAAACATACTGATGAATGTGGGCGTCTTAGTGGAATACCTGTTTAAAGAGAGAGAAGGATTAGTAATTTCCTTTTAATTCTATACTGCCGTTATAAGCATACGAGTCCCACGGTGCACAAAGATTGCATAGAACATGGGACAGTTATGCGTATAACGGCAGTATAGGGCTTGAAAAGACGTCTTGATAGGTTGAGTTACGCTAGTGAAACGAATAAATCCGGAGTGATTTGAGATTTGGGTGTAATTGCATTTGTAAACAAACACGTCAATCATTGATTTTGCACGAATAAATGCTCAATCTCGAAAACTATCAACACTATCAGGTAACTATTAACACTATCAGGTAGAGGAATGATTCCCTCTATCATTTGGTGCAGTTTGTTTACGAGATTGAACTTTTGTTCGCGAGAAATTGGCGATTTACGTGTTTGTTTACAAAAGCAATTACGCCCAAATCTCAAATCACTCCGGAAATATTATACGGTTTTTAATTATCATGGCATACTATAAATAGGGTAGACCACTACTTCGTCGTTATCGCCCATTTCCGTTCTATCGAGCAGAAATAACCAATTCAATATACTTTAGACCAACAATTGAAAAGGTACTATGGACTTTTATAAACAAAACGTTGATTATTCATTCCCCGCCAATCGAACGCACATTACCGGCATCATCGGATAGGGGAAACTTTCCCCAACCCAAATATGGTGTCAGTTTGCGTAGGCGAGCCTTGAGTCACGAGAAAAGGGTTGTCGAAGTTTTGTTAGCAATAGCTGATGTGCTCTTTTCTGTTGTTGGCCGTGATTTGCTCGATTGGTTCCGCTATTTGACAGCTCAATTGGTTCCCGAGATTCTATCCGCCAGACTATGAATATACCGACTATAGTTTCAATGCGTTTGGACGGAATTGAAACTCGTAGAACGAAATTGCAATCAAGAAGCAGTGTTTGATTTCTTACAATATCTCAATAATTTGTGACTCTTTATCAAACCCAACGGTGCGTATAGTAAGGTAAATAAATTTTGAAGTCATCTATAGTTGAATCACTCAATTTTTAAGTTCATATCCGTTCGATAAAGACTACGGGAGAACGGAAATTAGATTTAAAACCCTACATCACGGATTACTTCGATCGCAATAAATTCCTCTACCTTATTTGCTTATACTTGACAGATACGCGTATTTCTTCTACAATGTGTAGAATTCTTCTTCTTTATTCTTTTATTTAACGTCGGTCTCTGTTCCGCAATCTAGTGCCAATTGGACCTGTGCGCCACCGCCGTCGACGATTTTCATACGCCGCAGCCGCCGATGAAATTAAGCCGGCATGCCGCCGCAGTAAAATCTTTCACGCCGCCGAATAAATGTATGTCACGCCGATGAAAAATCCGTAGCACCTTTTCGGTTAAATACATCTTGAACATGTTGAAATTAGAGCTTGTGTGTGGTGCAGCGATTGTCATTTAGTTATTTGACGTTTGTTCGCACTTTCTCGATCTAGCACACAGGAAATGAATCATTTGAAACGGATTTACATAAAGTTGAATAAGTCAAGATAGAGCTGTAATTAAGGCGTAACAGCTTTTGTAAACAATACATTCTTTCGATGATGTGCTGAAAGTCAAGGCTCGCCCACGCAAATCAACATCAACATCAACATCAGGTAGGGTAAGACTTTCCCTACCCGACGTAATGTTGGTTTGCGTGGGCGTGCCTTGAATTCCTAGAAATCATCGAGAGAAATCATTGTTTACAAAAGCTGTTACGCCCCAATTCCAGCTCTATCTAGAAGTGTAAACAACACGTTGATATTTGCAGGGCTGTTACAACAAGCGCGGATTTCGCGAATTTCGCGGATTTCGCGATTTTCGCGGATTTGTCGCGGAAACATTAAATGATGTCGCGAAAATCGCGAAGGGACTGACGTGCTGTCACAAAAATTGTGGAATTCATTGTAACCTTTTCATCAATTTTGTTATTCATTTGGCTCTCAATTGTTTACCTTTTCAAACACCCTGCAAATAATCGAGAAATGATCTCAATTCGATAAGTTACACCGGATTTACACGGAAATTCTCTGGGGTCTGTCCAATGTGAGACATATTCATGTTTTTTTTTATTTACAATATGAAAATAACATTTTTCGTTATAAAATCATAAACGAATCGTATATATGATAGTTATTACCATGTATTAGAGGCGTTTCCTTACCTCAATCTACCTGTGCACCAGCTCTCAAAACATAAACAATTATCAAAATATTGCTTGCAATGGATAGATAGCGAGTAAACTAGAAGAATAAGTGTATTTTCAACCGATTCAAGTATGAATATAGAATTAAATCTGGTTTTGAAAGTTGGTGCACAGGTAAAAAGTGAGGTTACGCGATGCCACAGCCATGTATACCGGATATTCTAGGTTCTCTAAATCGTCCTGGAGTTCAGTTGATTTGTTCTACTATACCAAGCAGGACTGCAATAATGTCTGTAGTATCGAAATATGTACAAACAAATTTAAAGTGTCTATGTGGATCGTGTCCGATCTATTGCTACGTATACAAGATGTTATAGGTTCTGAAATCATTCTGGAGATCAGATTATTTTTTTACTAGATCACTCAAGACTAATTCAAAATCTGTAATATAGAAATATGCCCAAACAAATTTCCAATGTCTATGTGGATCATGCCAACCTATTTCCGTGTATGCCAAATGTTCTAGGATTTCCAAATCGATATTTCGATACTACCAATATTATTCCAGTCTTTGTTGATCTAGTAAAACAGATCATCTGAACAGCAGGACGATTTGGAGAACCTAGCTCAGCTGGTAAACGTCGAAATAATTAAACATTATCCATATATACACTATGAATCTGTTAGGATATATTTCGATACTACAGACTTTATCCCAGTCATGGTTGATCTAGTAGAATAAATCGTCTGAACTCCAGAACGATTTGGAGAACTTAAAATATCTGGTATACATGGCAATAGTTCATGCATGATCCACTAGACTGATGCAAATTTTGACATTTTCGCTCCACAGTGCTCATACGGTTCCAAATCGGGTCCTGATTAGTCTCCCAAAATTTGAACTCATTTGCAAAGAAACTGACTTGGCACAAACCATTTGAAGTTTATATGGAAATTACTATGGGAAATCAAAACTTTTTGTTCATTGTCTTCTTACCTTTTTCCATATTGCACTGTTCAAAAATTCAAAAGCTATACTTATGGAAAATTTTCAACTTAGCAGAATATAGTTGTTGAGCCAAACGTCAAATAAAATAGTTATTAATTGTTTAAGAGATTGATAATCTTATGGCATGATCCAGCAGCTGTTTTGTGAGCAACACTATATCTTGCAGTGTGACATAGTAGCCATGATTTTTGTGCTCTATTCCAAGCGCCAGAAACACCAATGTTGCCTGCTGAACAGTTGATTGAGCATAATCGTCAGACATTTGTTGCTTGAATTATTGATAGCTTTTGATGCTTACATTATATTGAAAAGTGGTTCAGGACAAAGTTGTAGCTGAGAAAATTAGCTACGAGCTCAGTTATCATTTTTTTAAAGTAGAAAGATATGGTAAATTGTTAGATGGATATGAACGAAACATTTGGTTTTCCTATAGTAATTTCCATATAAACTTCAAATGGTTTGTGCCACGTCAGTTTCTTATCGAATGAGTTCAAATTTTGGGAGACTAATCAGGACCCGATTTGGAACTGTTTTAGCACTGTGGAGCGAAAATGTCAAAATTTGCATCAGTCTAATGATCCACTGATGACACTGTGCATCTGTCTGGAAATATTTCGATACTAAAGACAATGTCACATTTTCGGTTGATATAGTAGATCAAATTATCTGAACTCCGATTTGAAGAACCTTGAACATCTGGATTACTCGGAAATAGATCATGCATGATCCACATAGACACTTTGAATCTGATTGGACATTTTTCGATACTACATACATTATTGCAGTCTTGATTGATCTTGTAGAACAAATCTACTGATGTCCTGGACGATTTGGAAAACCTTTAATTCCCTGTATACATAGTAATAAGTCGTGCATGATCCACAAAGTCACATATATACGATTCGGTTATGATTTGACAACGAAAAGGTTCATATTAGAAATGAAAAAAAATATATCATGAAAATTTCTCACCATTGGACAGGCCTCAAGGAATATCCGTGTAAATACAGAACCGCGACGTGACCAACAAGTGTGACTTATGAAACTCTGGTATTTTCTCGATTATGTGCAGGGTGTTTGTTTTGAATCGGTAAAAAATAAGAGAA